GTACAGACGCAAGTTGGCGCTGGGACTGGGTATCTTTAAGTGGGGTACAGATGCACAACAGTCCCATTTCTTTAATACCCACTGATGCATTCAAATAAAACAAAAAAAAAACACAAACAGCCTCGGTCTATCCCCCATGTATACATGATTTTTAACTTCCAAACATCCATTCGCTCGAATGCACAGTGATCGGTCTTCATTTCCTCGTTAACCATTCAGCCACGTATGCGCACATTGTTGTTTTCTATTTTTGTTTTTTTGGAAAAAAAAGCTCCATCTATTGGTGGGAATTCACGCACTCGCACTCATGAATTAATCCATTTGGCTACCATGGGTTTGGCTACCATGGGTTAACATCGATTTCGTCAAAACAGACATTTTATTTTTCCAAAACAAAATGAGAAACTCTTAAATTGGCCCAACTAAGGTCCATATTTTCAGCTCCTGAAGGTATGGCATTCTGAAAACGCCCTACCCCCTAGATGCCAGCTGAGTTCAGATACATCCAGGGGGTACAGGGTTTTTAGAACGCCATAGCCTCTGGACTCGAGCTTAGTCCAGATACATCCAAGGGGTCCAGCATTTCAAGGACGCCCAACCCTGAAAAGCTTGAAAGTTCCTAGTAGCAGCCAGGAGATCTCTGTATACTACCACTTAAGAGATTTCACGGATCGAGTTCGGAATGGGATCGGGTGTTTTCACGTCCCACAATATAGTACCCCGATACTCTTGAGTCATGCTTCGCGCCTTTGGTAGCTAGTCTGATTAGATCGACATTAAATCAAATCTGGGTGCGTATATTGGAAAGGATGTCATGTACGCTAGCAACTCAGGCAGATGTGTAGATGTAGTTCTATCTGCCTAACTTCATTCCTTATAAGTGAGCCCTGTAGCTCGCAGTCACTACAATTGCATGTCTATTTACACAAACAACTCCAGTGTTCAGGGACACGCTGGACTCTCTTTCCAGCAGGTGCTGCTCCCCACCAATTTATGGAGCCTCCCCAACAGTGTGCAAGTGATGACTGCTCTCTTACCAGCACCCCTAGCATCCGTTCGGATTGTTTTTCAAAAAAAAAAAAAAAAAAAAAAAAAAAAAAAAAAAAAAAGCCTCCATGAGCACATCCATTCATTCATTCCTTCATTCATCCATCCATTCCTGAGTAGCACGGCAAAAGTGTGTGCACCCGTCCACCTTCACACGGCTCGCAAACATGTTTGGACAGCTCCCAAACGTGTTCTTTTTTTTCATAAAAAATATATATATATATATCGTCACAAATAGAACTGCCCGGTAAACCGTAGGCAGACAGAGAGAAGAGGACAACAAACGAGGGGCTGTGACAATATATACGTCACAAATATATATATATATATATATCTCCCTCTCTGCCTACGGTTTACCGGGCAGTTCTATTTGACGATATATCGTCAAATATTTTGGGTTTTGATTACTGGGAGTGACAATAAAAGCAGAAAAGCTGTAATTAGCACAGACCAAACAAATAGAGGTAATCTATGCATGGTCATTCCTGGGCCACCCATGTTAAAAATAGTCGTAATGAAATTGATAGCACCTAATATTGAGGAAACACCCGATAAATGAAGACTAAAAATAGCTAAATCCACAGCTCCTCCAGAACGACTGGTTTAAAGGTGGCTGGACCGGGTGGTTGCTTGTATTGTTCTCTTACATAACAATAATTTTTCAAGTCTTTCAGAGATTTTTTCTTAATATATTTTTTTTTATGTTCGCGTTGGGAGGGTTTGGGGCACTCGTTCGCATTCGGACGAACATGTTCGTCCGCCTCCGAACGCTATGCTACGCAGCAGATCCATCCATCCATCCATCCATCCGCCCATTCATTGCTGTACCTGAGCCATTAAGCCACCAGTACACGGCACCATACATCTGCGGCGGGCCCCTCACGGCCATTCTTCCTCCCATGCCTTCGTTCAATCCTGGAGCCATCCACCTTTTGTTCTCTGCACCCACTGTCAAGACATCAAAATTCTCTTCTCTCTGCCAGCCATCTACTACTCCAATTCGCCCATAAAAACCATCTCTACCCATTCATCAATCCTTCCCTGTGGTTTGCCAATCCTGACGACCATCTTCCCCTGTACACAACGCACCCTCATTTTGGCTGCACCTGACCTGAAATATAGCTTATATATACAATCATTATCAGGCTGCAACTGACCTGAAATATAGCTTGCATACACAATCATTATCAGGGTGCCTTATGTTCGAGGAAAACGGTAGAACCGAGAAAGGCGTAAAAAAAAAAAAAAAAAAAAAGCGAACTTGGACACACCTCTAGTTATAAAGGTTTCGAGCTGAAAATTCGCATAAAAGTAAAAGAAAAAAACGGATTAAACAAAAAAAGGAAGAAGAAGAAACCGGATTAAACGGGAAAAAAAAAAGACGACAACGAAATCGGATTAGACAAAAAGAGAAAGAAGAAGAAGAAACCGGATAGATGCGCGAATAAGGAAGATAAGAAGAAGAAGAAAAGGTGGAAAAGACAAAGAAGGAGAGACGAAAGATAGCCAAGATAACGCACGGCACAATGCATAGAAGGGAGCACACAAGAAGACAGGGGGGGCCAAGTCCCACTAGTTTTTTTGAATCCTCCTTCCTGGCAGTTCATCTTCGTAATATAGGGTCAGATATCCAGAAAAACGGGTATGTGGAACTAGGGCCCTGAAAAAAAAAAAAAAAAAAAACAACCTTGGGCCCTGAAGGGAGAATCAGACTGGGACCGGAAGGGCGAATCAGACTGGGACCGGAAGGGAGAATCAGACAGGGAAGGGATACAGAGGCAATTTACTAGAAATTTTGACAGGAGGAGCAAGAAATGGGGCACATCCGCCGAAATGCCACCTCGGGGAAAATAGATAAGGAAAAACTAAATAGAAAGTAAATACACCGAAATCGCCGAAAGAGCAAGACGAAGAAAGAGAAGAATGAAACACGGCCTGGCAGCAAAACAATAACGAGAAGAGAAATGGCGTTCTCAGCAGAACATCGAATCTCTCACACACCCGCCAACACCGAGGGTTCAAATCGGCCAGGAGAACTGATCGCGATGGACTCTGCACAGAAGCAGAGCACCGAGCAGACAGATGAGACCATCCCATGAGCAGAGCGCCAAAAGCAGTCCACCACGGGCACACTTTTCATCAAATCGGTACATTGTATATTCGTGCTTGTCCCTCTGCGTGTATATTCGTGCTTGTCCCTCTGCGACACTACTAGCTGCATCCTTAAAAAACAAGGACAAATTATTGGGCTTCACGTTCTTCACATCCTTCAACCTCGTTGCGGATAGCCTTATTCTTTCCAAGTCCAGTCTCATACTCTATTCGCCACGTCAGCCCCCCCATCACTTATTCCCCTCAAAATCACGTGCCCCCTAATTACAATGTCCGTCCTCAATCGCTCAACAAAAGGCAATCGTGCATGGATCATCATAATATGCTTCGCCGTTGCAAGAGCGCAACAAGATCCATAGTCAAGCTTATATTCCTTCTCTTTAATCGCTCCCTACCTCCCTACCAACATCTCCCTCTCTCAGCCATTTTCAGCCCAGCATCCTCTCTTTCTCCCTCCCTCCCTCCCTCCCTCTCTCCCTGTGCCTAGCCTTCCTAGTCGCCTTCTTCTTCGTGTCAAGAACGACCCGTACTTTGATCGCTTGCCTCTGCCGGTCCTACATTTGACACCCTCCCCTCCTCTCTCTACCCCCCCCCCCGCCCCCCTTCCCAGACCCCACTCTCCCACTCTTTCGTGCGGACTAGCTTAGCATTACTTAACACACACTCCGGCCAATCGCCTCCAGCCCTAATTGCTTTACGAACGCAATCTCTTCCAAAACACCCGGCTTTTCCTTATTTCGATTTGTACGTGAAGAAAAATTGCGGGCTCTTCTCCACCACCACCTACCCTTCTCTCCCCATTTCATTTCCCTCATCTTGACAGTTTCTTTCCCCTCGAGTTGAACGTTTCTTGTTCATGAGAAGAAAAATTGCGGGCTCTTGCCTCCACCACCTACCTTTCTCACCCCACCATTTCATTTCCCCCATCTTGACCGTTTCTTTTCCCTCGACTTGAACGTTTCTTGTCCATGAGTTAAACCCTCTCTACCTTAACCTCGGCAAGGCTTGACTCCACCGTTCAGCCATTCCCGCCATCAACGACCCCTCCACTTTATTCAGTGATGCGTGCGCTCACCCGTCAGTGCGAGAGAGGCCAAAGGACCGCTAGCCAGCAGAGTGTGACTAAGTAACTCGAACGTTTCTGTTCCCTCTCCAACCTGCACGTCTCTCTTCTCCTTCAACTTGGAACGTGAAAAGTGGGGTTAACTTTTCGAGGTTTTCCCTGCGGGTTATATACGATACGATATTCACTCACCGCCCGCAGTACATTCTACACACCTATGGGTCGAGGAATTGCTATCGGAAACCTCCTCCCTCCCTCGACCTCGGTTCGTACAGACCGTTCCGTGACATACTTTCATTTCCACGCAGGTAGCGAAAGGAAGACTCGCCGCCGGACAGACTCCGGAAGAGCCTCGGTCGACCAAAAACTCCAATAAATCTATCTATTGTAGTCGCAATTCCTCTCTCTCTCTCTCTCTCTCTCTCTCTCTCTCTCTCTCTCTCTCTCTCTCTCTCTCTCTCTCTCTCTCTCTCTCTCTCTCTCCTC